TATATATATATATATATATATATTTAGGTTTTTCTACTGGAAGAAATCAATTCTTGCAGGGCTGTAAAAACATCAGACATTCACCCAAAAGCAGAATAAGTTCAGAGAGGTTTAATCACAGCTCCTTTTCATGTCTAGCAGAGGTGCCTGCACCTTRCTGCAGGGGCCAAACCACCACAGGACATTAGCCCTTAGATTTAGCACCATGCTCAAGATATCTAGGGCAGACACACATAAAGCATGCAAGTGGGCCTACGCATGCACACCTGCACATGCACACACACCGTCCCTCCCTTTCATATCTGTGTGCTTCTGTTTCAATTAGAAAGTCCAACTCAAAAGGCCACTGTATGTCTTCAAAGGCTAATTTAGCCTAATTTCAGGGAGTCCTCCTGCTTGTGTGAAACTTTTATCTGCGTGAGATGTGTCTGCGAGCTGAAAATGAGTAAAGAGAGTTTCCAACCTCAGAGGAACTAATTATTATATAGCTTTTAAATGCAAAAATGACTTCACTCTGCTGGAGAAGCATTAATCAAATATGATTAAAGAATTAGGAACCAAACTGCTTATTTCTCTTTAGCTCTGGACTTTATTAGATGTTGGCCTCAGCACAGAGTGTCCCCCTGTAGCTTCGCTTTTTGTTTGACAGCGCACGCACGCACACACACACCCTTCAGAGTCTGCGTTAGCTCCCCAAGCTCCCAACACACACAGCATTAGCTCTGATACTTTTTTTTAGGGCCAGGTCCCGTCTTCTACTTTCACTGAGAGGACGATTTAAGTATGAGAGAAATGGAAGGAAATTTGGAGGGAAAAGAAGAAATAATAAAAAACATTCAAGCACATTTTTAATTAAGTAAATGAACGGGGAGAAAGAAATGTCTTAATTAATGAAAGCTTTTAGCTAGCAGCTGCACCGGGGAACCGAAAGCTTTGGTTTTTTTCTTGTTGTTTGAAAAATTGCATGCATGCCGGAATGGTAAATTTGAGTCATTTCTCAAGCAAAGAGCACGCCTCCAATCAAGGTTGTGGGCAGAGGAGGAGGAGGGTGAGGCAACTCCCCCCTTCCTCTCTGTCTTGCTCTCTTATTTATGTCCCACGGCACGCTGCTGCATGCGTTTGATGGTCCTTAAGCTCTGGGTTTGGTCTGTGAGCCCAGTCCTTTCCCCTCATGGTCAGAAAACAAAACCAAAGAGAAACTTTCAAAAAGAAAGATGTTTTTCTTTTATTTATCATCACTTTTCATCTTTGATGTTACAGTAGCTGCAAAAGCTAGCTAAAAACAGACATTAACATTTGAACTTGGTCCCTTCCGGTTTGGCGGAATGGAAAATAATAAAAAAAATCCAACTCACTGAGCAGCAAGTTGAACGATGAGAAATTAAAGTTTGAGTTAAATGGAACAAAAAACACTTCAGTGATCATTCTCATTACAGGAGGAACTAGTATCAATGCATGAGGTGAGCTGGTGTGGCATAACACGGCACTAAAAATGTCTTAAAACAACTTCCAAGCATGCCAGGGGGTTTCACAGTACTGCTCAGTTCCACTAGGGTGTGCCAGAGAGCATGACAAAAAACGTAATCAATGAAAAATATGTGAATAAAAACCAGAGGCCAGTACAGTCTCTGGTCTTTATTTGTGAGTGTGTGCTTGCTGGTGTGGTGATGTTGGAGACGGGAACGGGCGACGCGCTCACACTTACCATGGTCCCCACACTGTATGTGGCGGCAGGGCCAATTGTGTGGTGATAGGGGTCTGCTGTTGCATAGACTCTGCCATAGCTGCATGACAAGAAGCGCAGAGAACACAACAATTATGCACGCTTGTTTAATGCTCAACCCCTTCAAGTTTCTAACACAATCAATTACTCCCCTCCTCGGCAGCCTGCATCACACGGGGCGGCTCACAGAGGAGAGTTCAAAGGTTGGGGGAGTTATACTGGTTTGGTCGTTGTCGTCTTGATTAGGTGGATGGAATAGGTAATGAGCGGGAGGAGAGAGATGCAAGAGGGGGAACACAGTTGGAGCTGGAGGGCTTGGTCTTTCCCCCCTGAGCTTGTTTACCCAGGCTGCACACTGGGCTCATGCCCTTGTCTTTTCATTGTTGCTGGTTTGGAACTAATCCTTCCAATTTCCTTCTAAGACAGGACAAGATGTGTCTGTCTTATTTATTTATTTATTTATTCTACTTCACATATTCCTCTATTTACTTTCCTTCTGTTTTTTTTTCCTTTCAGTGCTTGCTTGCAAATGAGGGTCTGCACAGAGAAGATAAGGCACTCCCAGCCAAGGACTGAGGGCACCAAATCAACCAGGAATAAAAAAAAAAGTAGAGAGGGGAAGAAATTCTCTCAAAGGAAACAACAAGACATCCGTGTCTTCTGCATGGGATGTGAACGTAACTCTGCCCGGTTAGGTCCAGTGGCACCCAAGGTCGGCAGGCAGGGATGTGAAATCAGAATCAGAAAGGCTGTTTGAGGGAGAACCCGATGCCACGAGATGGTCAGAGGAAGTCTCTGCAGTCCTTTTATCTTCAGTGAGCACCAAATCCCACAAGCCCTCTGAGGATACGTCTACAAAATGACTCACCAGAGTGATGAGCAGCGGTTCAAACCACCCTGCCCAATGTCACAGAGCTGACTGCCCCCCCGACACATCCCACTGGTTCTGGACTCTAAGTTACTCAAAAGACCTTGGTAATGCTTCCTGTGAGAACTGTGGGATTTTCACACGCCTTCCTCAGTCCTGCTGATCTCTCCTCTGATTGGCTGGCTGCGGTTTTTCTAAGGCATTTGTTGATACAATACAAACTTCTATTGATCCAATGGACATGATCACTCATTCGAATGGAAACGCACAGCTAAAACAAGCAACTTGGGTGTGAAATATATTAAACCTTTGAGAAAACAATGGGCAAGAGACACAGGGATTAAATCACTGAGGAAAAAAAATATAAAAACAACAACAAGCCTGCTGTTCAATTTCTGCTCTCCTCGAACATGGCCGCTCATAATTTGAGCCTCAGCGAGGTCTGATAAATTTTACATTATTGATATGATCTTCAGGCTCTCGGGCAGGGTGTATGTTATCACAAGTGACACGCTCAATCCTTTTCAGATTAGATTCCCAAACCAACCCAGATCCCAGCTGACAACAGCTTTCAGCGGCTGAAATGAATCAGCAACGCCTCTTCAAGAGGAGCACAGCTGGACCGGACTATCTGCCCCTCCCCCCCGCAGACCCGAGGCCATTCATAAACACCACAGTGATATACCTACTCCCCCATCACTAGCAGAGAGTCACGAAACATCACAGCTCTTCTCAGAGTCCAACAAGGTTAGTCCTTTRTGTGTCTGCGTTCTTTTTAGCTTCGAGCTCAAAAAGAATATGGTGGCAAGCCTAACGGAGGAGATAAAATTAGAGCAAGAAAACCTCAGGAACCCTAAATAACCTTCACGGAATATTGTAAAATGCTGAGGAAGCAGCCACCATTCATCATGTGTACGTTTGGCCCATAGATATGTTCCTTATTGTTACAAAAACACTAATTATGCTAAGCAAAAAGCCACCCTTTCCTAGCGTCCTCGGCTTTTTCTGCTTCAGTCAGTAAAGTTCTCGTTACCAAAGATAGCTCTGTCGAATGCTATAAAGATGTTTCTGTCATTTTATCCGACATTAAATGCATCTTTGTAGGACTGTGTTCCTCCTGCCCGCTGTTGATGAAAAATGCATTTTCTTGAGCATCGGTGCAAAACATGGCCTTAAGATTGTTGCTAATGTTAGTTTGATTGTGTAATCCTGGTGCACACACTGCAAAAACTGTCCATTTAACAAAGTTTTAAAATCTTATATCCAGCCAAAAAGTCTTTTTGATCTTGTTTTGAGACTGATTTACTAAACAAGAACTGATTGTGTAAGAATAATCATCTTGTTTTCAGAATGTATAAGATTATTTGTCTTGTTAGTCTGAAAATTTTACTCAAATTAAGTCAAAAATTTCTGCCAATGGAGTAAGCAAATTTTACTTAGTAAGATTCTTGAAATAAGAAAATATTGAGTCAAATCAAGTATTTTAAGAATCTTGCCTAGTAAAATTTTCTTACTCCACTAGCAGATATTTTGACTTAATTTGAGTCAAATTTTCAGGCTAACAAGACAAACAATCTTACACATTGTGAAAACAAGATGATTATTCTTACACAATCAGTTCTTGTTTAGTAAATCAGTCTCAAAACAAGATCAAAAAGACTTTTTGGCTGGATATAAGATTTTAAAACTTGGTTAGGTGGACATTTTTTGCAGTGTCGATGAAAAAAAATGAAGTATTTCACGGTGATCCTATTTTCTTACAGAAGCTTTTAAAATACACACATGTGATATACAGTAAGTCATTTCCTGTTTACTAAGTGAGACAGCTCCTCACCTGTCACTGTAAGCAGCGGTGGTGGTGGGCTGGGCAAATCTGTATGCTGCATAGCCACCCTGTTGAAATACCAGAGTATTAATTAGTGATTAAACACAACCTGCACAGGGAAAGGTTACAAATTGCACACACAAGAAAACAACAATATAGACACTGAGCTTTTAAATTGCCCTAATAGTTAAATGTCACCGCGCTTTACTTTGGTTATCTGCAGCTTCCCTCAGAGACACCAGAGGGCGCTGTTTGATATATGGTGTTAGGAGGGAGGTAGGGTAGGGGGAATAAATGATGTTCAACTTATTGTCACAAACTCGCGTAGCAGGATCACACACGTGAGCAACTCCCCAAATTCAGCCGATCTTAGAGAGAGGACTTTCTGCTGCTACATTATTAAAGAACCCCCTTTTTTTCCCCCTTTACACGACCCCCCTGGTTCACAAATGAAGTAAGGCYGCAGAAGACAGTTGGACCGTTGGGGAGTCAGGACTGCTGTATTCATTTGCCAGAGTAGGAAAGGAATTAAAGACCTCATTGTGGAGTGCTACTATTACTCTCTTTGAAAAATGAAGCTGTTCTCCTACTGTTTTTCTATTAGTGCCACAGGAGTGTGTGCCCATCTGTGTCCAAACAGCAGATAGGTGGCTTTTAATAATGCATGTTTTCATTCATTTTTAAGCTCCTGGGGGGGAGTGGAGTGGTCCGATTGAAAGCCTGCGTGTGAAAATAAGGTGCTGATTCGATCCCAATCTTCCAATCCMTGTTACGGATTTCCAGAGGGACAGGAAGTCAGAGCGCTCGAGGCAGATGACTTCCTGCGGGACAGGCGTACCTTGGGACTGTGCTGATTACAGCAACAGCCCGAACAAACAGGGGCCAATAAATCACCACATTGTCAAATCCTGCACACGGCAGTGCGGCACATTTGTTATTTTGTCATGGCGAGTATGTGTTAGTGCAATCATGTACGTGTGCACTCACGTGTTTCACGTGACGGGGGCATGCATATGTATTAGCATATGCAATCTCTGCTGGTATATATTCATATGTGCATATATACACGTTTCCCAGATATCATCCCGGCTGCGTGTGACAGCCTCCCGGCGTGCTCTGAATGATGGTTCAGGACACCGAGGGGCTAAAGGACAGCTTCCACCTGGTCACTCAGAACCTTCGTGTAACCAGTCTGAAGCAGTTCAGTGGTCAGTGCCTAAACTAACGGCGGGCCGACGGGGTGAGTGATGAATCAACCTGCCCACACCTTGGTCAGGAGATATCAGTGTATACAGGACTTAGCTGGAGGTGCCTGAATGAGACAGACATCACTCAGAGCGCAGCCCAGATCTCTTCTATGATGGTGGGTGTCTGCGCAGTAAAAGCCTGTGAAATACTGTCCTATCATGTGGGCTGCTGTGTAAGCCATATATTACTGGGCTTTAGTGTTTCACTCCCAGTCACCAGAGTTTGTCGGAGTGAAAGTGAGAGGCAGCTGTGGCTGTTGTCATCTCGCTGTCTGAGCAGAAACCAGCAAAAAATAAATAAATTACCATCAAAGAACAAACTACACTTCCTCACGCTCCAACATTTGGACTGATGTCAAAATGGGTGATTTTAAAGAGGACATATCCTGCAAAATCCACTGTTTTAGCTGTTCATTTTAGGATCAATTTTAATATTTTATTGCTTACTTTTAAAGTTTTAAAAGGTCTGGCCCCATCCTACCTGTGTGATCTCATTAACATCCTCACTTCAGTTAGAGCACTTCAGTCCCACCAGTTCCTCTTAGATGTTCCTAGATCCAGGCTAAAGTTTAGAGGTGATCGGGCCTGTGCAGTTTCTGCTCCAAACCTTTGGAACGGTTTATCTCTTAGCATTCAGACTTTTAAATCTCTGCTTAAAGCTCATTTTTACTCCCTGGCCTTTCATTCTGGTAGAGTTTGAGATTCTTTTAATGATAATATTTTTAATGTTTTCTCTATTTTAAAACAGATCTTGTTGTTTTATTCATTTGGCTGAATTGTGAAGCACTGGTCAACTTTTGTTGTTTTTATGTGCTATATAAATAAATTGGCATTGATATTAAATACTTTTTGTTGTGAACTTGGAGTCTCTGTGTGAAGAAAAGTTGAGTTTAGTCTCTCCTGGTGCTACAAATATCTCTTTATTTTCTGTTTGGGTCAAAATTTTCAGTCCTTTCAGTTTTATTTATTTTCTATGACGTTTTCTGAACTGTTATGACAAATWAACTGCAACAGAATTACCAAATATATTTCTGGACTTACTGACTACTATTTCCTCATCTTAATTCTCCTCTGGTTCTGGGTCAGACTCTGGCTCCAACATGTAAAGCTGGATAAACAAGTCTTCTGTTGTTGACATATTTTAATTAAATTGTAAATAAAATGTTTCTATAGTGTTAGGAAACYGAACCCCGTCTCTCAAACAGGAGTGGACCGGTTTGGAAGCTGGAGGGGGCCGGGGCTTGAAGCATCTTAAAGGAACAATAACAAATCCAGCTGCATTAGRTGTGTTTCCATCCAATTTTAATTAGAATTTTGAGCAAATTTTTAAAATTTTGCAAAAAGGAAAAAACAAAACGAAGAAATCAGACAGAGAGAACAGCTCATCGACCACGTGAGGTAAATGTTCACTACGTCAGAACTTATTCATCAAATGTGTTTCCATCTCTTCTTTTGTGCATTAACTCTTTTTCAAAAAACCCAAAAACCACCTCAAGTTAGCGTATAAACCTTCTTTTTTTTTTGCGAATTAGAGGAAGTTTTTTTTCGAATCATGCTGTTTCTATTCACCTTTTCTGAAGCCAGACTTCAAAAATGTGCATTAAAAACGTTGATGGAAACACGGCTAATGAGACACCCAGCAGGAAAGAGGTGAAAAAGGAGCTGGTGAAGTTAAAATATTCCAAACAAAGCTTTGTAGTTCCACTTTATAAAGACCCAACAGAAGGATTTAAATGTGAAAAGGAAGGATTTAAAAGCATCATATGTCCATTTTTTTATTTATCTACAATACCTTAATCTAACAAGTGGAATATCACTATCATCACCTATTCTTATATCATTTAATAATATSTGATAGGACCTTTGCATCAGTCACACTTGTTTTAGCTTCAGAGTCAATCACTGTTGTTATTTCTATTTACACTGTTAATATTTACATTGTTATTATTTCTATTTTAACTGTATAGACGCTAAAGAATGCTCATTGTTCTGTGTTCATTTGGTTCTCCAGAGTTTTTATGCGTATTTCTTCCTTGTGTGCTCTAATATTTCTTCCTTTATACTTTATCCCCAATGCTTACTTGAACAGTTGCAGCTGTAATAATTGCAGTTTCCCCCCYAGGATCATTAAAGTATTCTGATTCTGACTTTAGCATCATCTCCACAGRGCTTCTCTGTGAAGGGCGACATGCAACAGGCCCCGCCCCCGATGTGACCCTGCCTACATGGACACATCCAGAGGGATGGCAAATCCCTTTATCTGCTGCTCCTCTTATCTCCCTCACGGTGAGAGCTGGAAGGAACTGGCTCCACTCAGGCCTGCGCAGACCCCCCTGGGGCAGGCAGGGATATCCCAGCCAAGCCCTCTGAGTGAACACAAAACAGGGCAGAGGAGGGAGGCCTTCAAAACCCAGACAAATCTGAAGGAGTAAATGACCTAACTTGACATGGGACACTGAGTCAGAGTCCCTCTTTCTGCCAAAGTCTGAGATCATAGGAAGAGAGCGAGAGGAGGGAGGAGCTGAGGGGGTTTTAAATTTTGTTGTTGGGTTTCTTGGCACACCAGACAGGGGGCTAATCGACACCGGCTTGGCAGCGAGGCTGAGTGAGAGCTGGGGGCTGAGGAGATCACTTTTTGGTCTCCTGGGCTGAATCTCTTGTCTGCTTTACTTCTGTTTCATCTAAGCAGGCACGAAGAAGAGCCAACTGTACTTACATAGATCTCGGCACCGTAGAAGCCATCTTGGTACACCACTCTGCGAAATTGTAGAACAAGAAAGGAAAGTTAGTGTATTTGCTGCTGAATCACAGCCCATGGCCGCTCTTACTATGTGTGTTTCACGAGGGTCAGCTTTCAGCAGCTCGGGCGCGCTGTATCACAAATAATGAATGACATGTTAAACTGAAAGGTGCAACCGTTTCGGTTCCCTGTCCAATTTTCTGCTCTGCTAAAGTTGTTTGTCTTTCCAGCTGCTGCAGTGGTTGTGTGGAGAGAAGAGGAGGACAAAAGGAAGCGGTGAGAGCGGCTCCGTCACATGACTCTGCTATATAAATCAAACAGCTGCCATCGGTTCCAGCGGGGGCCCCGGAGTGGGAGGGAGGGATTTCTAGTCCCGGTTTCAGCAGCGAGTGTTTCTGCAGTAAGACGGTTCCAGATCTAATCAAAGATAGACGGCTACACCGGGCCCTCAGCCGGCCTCCGTCAGACCTCTCCTCTGACCACACAGGCAGCTGCTGATAAGAGGTGAGTGTGAAGCTGCACCCAGCTCAGAGATCACTACAAACCCTGGTCACAGTCCACTGAGATCTGCCTGGTAATACACTATCTGAGCTCCCTTCAGCTTTCATCCTGGCTTTGTCAACAAACATACACATAAAGAACACGTACACAGATACGTGGGCCCTGTTTACACGAGACCGGTCTCTGAAAATGCTCATGTTTACTGGGGTGAATACACAAAAAAATCACCCATTTACATGGAACCACTGCAGTAATGTACCGGGCAGGGTTGCCAATTGGGACATAGTAAAGTGTTTTATTGTTCCTTTAAAATCAGCTTATTTTAAGTCAAAACAGCAGATTTGCTGRATATWTYTGKCCCATCATATCYAAATGACGAATAWGTCAAATTTGGTCAAAATTATCTAGTTACATTTTCAGATTTCTGCTTTAAAAGCTACATTTTGATACCTGGATCATTCTGATATCATCAACTTATCCAGAGATATGACTTAATTTGTCTTGTTGGTTACGATAATACATTAATATTTGGTCTGAATCCTAATTTTTTATGTCAATATAAAGAGGAAACCTCAATAGTATTTGTATATTAAGAT